TATTAAAATTATAGTTTTGTTTCAGATATGGATGACCCCCATTACCTACACCATAGAAAAAACTTTAATATAAAGTATCCTATTCTGAGCTGAAAGCTTTTAACTAACTTCCACTTAAAGCACAGTCAACCTGTTTGCTCTTCATCCTGTGAAAGGCTGGAGCTCGTTCCAGCAAAACAGTCAAAGAATGCACCAATCTGTAAATTTAGCAGAGCCAGGAAGTCTCCTTCAACATGCAAACACCATAGACCGTGGAATGCTGGGTTAGCCAAGCATGCAGCGTGTGGCCGACATTGTGCCACCATCCAGCTCCGCGCTCAACATAATCACCTCTGCACTGTGGTGTTTACTCACCGCAGTCCTGCTAATTTAGTTTTCAGTCACCAAGCGTTGGTTGGCGTCTGATGGCATGAATGGACAGCTCCACAACATCTGTTTTTTAAGAGCCCTTTAAACTGCATCTACAGTAACAGACTCGCCTTAGACACACAGTGCGGGCCCGTTCTAGTGCTTTGGCTTCTCTAAGAAGGAATCTAAAAAGATTTCTTACTACTGAAGATTTCTTTTAATCCAGTTGTTTTGCATGCCAGTAAAAGACATCTTTAAAGCCAGCATAAACACAAAAATGACTCATTTGGTGGTTTCTGGAAATCCACTAAACTGACCACTTCCAGATTATATTTAGACTCTAAATCTTTCCTGTGCAGGGAGGCTGGACCATCCCAGCAGCGCAGTTGTTTTATGGCAGCATGTAGGTTCAGCCAGGCTCTTCTGTTCTGCATCGGATGCAGAACTAAAAGCCTCTCCTCCCAGTTCTCCCCTCCCTCTGTGTTCAAGTGACCTATTTAGCAGCAGCAGACGATGCGTTCAGAGGGCGCAGGGGAAGGGGCTTTAATTTAAATCTGGAAAAAAAAAAGCCTGGTATTATATCGGAGTAGACATGTTCAAGTTAGAGCAGCGTTCCCTTTCTATTCCTTTCCTAAGGCTGACTTGATCAATTATGAATCACTTGTCTTGTGGAACTAAATAAAAAAGATGTGCTTTGTCGCCCCCTGATGGTGACTATTGTAGATACAGTAGTGTTTCCCATTCCACTAGAAATTAGCTCCTTTTTTTTTTTTTGATCTGAGGGTCTAAGACACTGAATTCATGAAATAAGGTTCAAGATTGGAGGATTGTAGCGTTTAAATCTTTTCTTTTCTAATAGAGAATTATTTTCACTATCTGCTTTTTGTCTTTTTGTTTTATTAATATATAAATGGGTGGCTTTTTCATTTATTCTCATTTTTCTGAACCTAAAATCATGTTATTTTCTCTCTTTCAGATACTGTTTGATCAAGCCCAGCGTTCTGTGAAGCAGCAGCTGCACAACTTTGTGAAAGAGTGAGAGAACCAGCCATTATTTTTCTGTCACATTTTTTTTTTACATTTTGCATGTTTTATTTATATCATTTGAAGTTTTTCATGTTTTTGCAATATTATAATCATCAACCTAAGCGGGGGAGGTTCTAGACAGGGGCCAACAGGGGCCAGTGTCTCTCTAGAACATGCCCTGCAAAAACTAAAACACAAGTCAGCCTTTTTTTTTCTTGAAATATGTTTATTTTCCCTTGATTTGAGCAGATGCATATGTTTAATATTACACTGGAAAAACGATCTAGAAATAGTTAAAAATATCTTAAATTAAGTGTATTTACCCTTAATTTGAGTAGATAAATATGATTGTTTGCCAATGGAATTAGTATTATTACTCTTAAAATAAGATAATTAGATAATATACATTTGAAATAAGACAATACAATTGTGTTTTCCTATTTTAAGTGTATATTGTCTTGTTCCATTGGTAAAATGTCTCTTTTACCTCCTCAATCCAAGAACAAATGCACTTATTTTAAGAAAAAATGACTTATCTAGATTTCGATTTTTTCCAGTGTATACTTACTGTCACCTAAATGTGCTGGATATCGGTGACTCTCAACCAGAGGGTATTCGTACCCATAGTGGTCCGTGAGTGCATTGTACGGGGCCACTGAAAAAAAAAGAAAAAGTTAACTGATTTTTAAATTTTATTTCAGTTTAACATGGGGGAAAAAAAATCAGAATTCTGACTTTTTTCTGAGAATTCTGAATGAATTCTGACAATAAAAAAAGTCAGAATTCTGAGATCAAAGTCAGAATTCTGAGAAAAAA